TTAATCGCGATTAAAATTTGTTTATCTATGCCCAGCACTAAAATTAATCAATATGAGTTAACTCGATTAATTTCACAGCCCTACATACAGTATGTTATAATTTAACCCCATCCATACTTGTGTGGTTATATTAACTAGTACTTGTTAATGTGGGGTTTCAGTATAATTTTAGCCTTTTTGCTTTGGAGCAGCTAAAGGAACTAAAAGAAAGTCCAGTGGAAGCGGTGCCGGGTGRAAAATCAMTGCAGTGTCATTTTAAAGACTCTTTTCATAAAGTGCTGTGTTTACTTGCTCCCTGTAGGTCTGCGCTATCTGCAGTGCGTCGAGGGGGTGTTGTGGTTTATTCAACCTGCACACTGTCAAGCTATGAGAACCAGGCTGTTGTTGAGACAGTGCTGAATGACTTTCCCGAGGCTGAAGTCGAAGACCTGTGGGAGGAGATTGCTCTTCCTTTATCAAAATACTTTGCATTTAGTCCTCATCCTGCTGGCGGACGGACGCATTCAAAGCCACCCCCGCTGCCTTTGAACAGAAAACTGGGGATTCTTGTAGTTCCTCAGCCTGGCAGGACCTGGGGACCCATGTTTTTGTCTCGAATTAGAAGAAAATAGAGMATATCTACCCAGAGGAGATACTGTATGTGTAATGAAACTACAGTATATGAAGCACTATTTTTCCAGGACTTAGGAATGTGCCTCACCACACAGAGCCGTGTCCTGGACGACTGAGACACCGGCGCACTAACTCACCACAAACTCTGCAAAGTGTCACGTTGCATGAGAACATTTCTGTTTGAAAACATGTCGGCGACACGTACGGCTTCCTGCAAGTCAGAACTGAAGCAGTTTTAACTTGGCAACACTAAGCTGTTGTACAACTATAAGTGTAGCAGTTATGTGTTGTTTATAGCTGCTGTATGTGTGTGTGTGTGTGTGTAGGTGTGCTGCTTGAGATTTCACGAGCAAATAAAAATAGAGCCTTACTCACATCAGTCATACGTACCTCCAGCAATCTACCAGAATAAGCCCTAACTCATACAGTATTTACTGAATGCATGTAATTAATATGTTCATATCAGTGTAGTAAATGAGAACGAGGCGACAGAAAGAGGCGGCTGATAGTGATGCAGTAGCTAAAAAATATGATCCGACCAGTCCCCTCACAGCCAGCTGTGTCTCACTGGTTGGTTACAGAGTCTGAAACTGGACCAGTATGATTATATCAGTTTATTGCATAAACAAACTCTAAGTGGGTTAAATGGGAACCACTGATATTATTACAGCCTGACAGCGAATCAAAAGAGGAGTGATGAGCCAACCTATGCTTTCATTAGAAGCCTTGAAGCCAAATAAATACAAAAATTACCAGAGCTTGGCTAGGATGTTCCATCATATTAGCTTTTAAACGTTAGAGTACGATGATGCTCAGATCAGCCCAACTTCTTTTATTACATTTGGTTTGGAAGTGTTTAAAAAATACACAAAGCAACAGAGACCCTGGACTGTTGAGCAACTGAAGTACATCTATGGAGGACCAAACCTATCATTATTGGAAATAAATGTATAAATATATAACTGGCGTATTAAAATAAATTATAGGCTCCATAGTATGGAGGACCAAACCTATCATTATTGGAAATAAATGTATAAATATATAACTGGCGTATTAAAATAAATTATAGGGTCAAAAAGAAGTTTGACAAATAAATTAT